TCAGAATGTCTCTCTGCATGTCATAAAGTGGAGGTGTAAACTCACTACAGATAACGCAGTGCAGGCTGATGAGCAGCAGTATCTTGGACGTCATTTTCTCCCTGTAAATAGAAAGCCATGTTAGACATCACACAGACCTCTCTTTTCTTATTCTTTACTGAGTGAGAAACAAGAGTTCAAACATGAGATTAATGTGTAATTACCAGCAGTCGGTCCTTCTTCATGCAAATTCTTCTTCAGTGTGAGGACAGGTCCTCTCAGACGCCTTGATAAATACGTATAGGGCGTGTCTTTTTTTGATCTGAGTCATTTAGTGTGTCTGACGGCTGAACTAGATTCAACAGGCTGCACTGCTCATGATCACGGTCTGTGCGGTTGGAATGTGTAGACTTGGGTGCTGAGAAAATTCTCACGGTGCATGTTGGTGGTTTCCAGGTTGCACAAGAAACCCAGGTGGAGGTTTTTATACAGTCAAACACCCATAGGACTAGAGCTAAATGTACTTGATTTGAGCCAACAGCTGACTGTCTGTACCCACAGGACAGGGAGATATAAAGGCCAACGCTTCTGCAAGAACAGACAAATGCACATGATGAGAAGAAATAATTAAATGCAACTCCAGTAAATGTAAATCAACATGCAAATCAGATATCAGGTTTTGAAGTGTCAGCTATTATTTTTTCTCCCAAGGTCATTTGCTTTCCATTTGCAGAATGAAATCTTTGACAGATTCCCATTTCTTTTTTTTAATCCTCTTACTTTTGAGTAATAATTATATCAGGGTCTGTACGATATTTCCCTCAGCACTGCATTGACACATCTTTGTTTTGTCAATAAACTGCATAAGGTCACACTTTTCCCACGACTGAGAGGCGTGTGTCTGCAGACTCCTGTGCTTTGACATTTTGCTGTAAGACTTATAAAGGGTAAGGTTTGAAAAAGATTCCAAGATTAAATGTTTGATGTTTTCAGCACTCTGCTGCAGTTGTACAATAAACGTCAAGTAACTGTCTCTGTTGCTTGCAGGGAAGTGTGCCATGTATCTGCCACAAACAAAGGCAGGTTCAACATGTGGAAAAAGAGGAAGGAACTAAGTGTGGCAGGCAGATGCCTGAGGCATGGGGAAAGGACATTGAGAAATCTGCTGAGGGGAGAAACATGGTTGCAACAAGGAAAGCTTGTTTGTCCTTTGATCAGCTGCCAGTCAACCTTGCAAAAGTACCTTTAGCAGGCACGTATAAACAAGTGAGCTTGGATTTCTGGCACCAAAGCTACCCGCCTGCAGAAAGTAAGTTTGCAGTAAGAGAGTGATGAAGCATGATAGGTCCACTTTAAGTAAAATTCCCATTGGATTTTTCTGGTGAAGGTTTGAAGAACACTTTAAAAGAAAGTCCAATTTCAGACTGACCGACACGTAAGAGAAACGTCTTCAGTTAAAAGGCTGGACCACTTTTTGTCCGCTCCAGGCACTTGTATTCATAACATCGCGGATAAACGTGCAAGGATTTTACTTGCGACTATTAGCACTTTTCCCGCTTAGTTCAGGCGTTACCTGTTTGGCTGGGCGTACTGTTTTTCTTGAGGTTTCTACAGAACCGCTGATCCAAATAGCCTCAAGCTGGGCCCATAAATCCATCGTGTACTCAGCAAAACACACGGCAAACGAGAAGTAAAACGGTCCGAGTGTTGGTGAGATATTCAAATTTTAGACACTCACTGTGACCTAAGATTTTCATTGTCATAACTACACCGTAGCTATGCACACATGACAATAAAAGCCTTGAAACTCACTAGATGCCACTGGATTAACAGCAGGTTGCGTGTCTTTGTGTCATGTGATGGGAAAAATAAAACACACAACAAACCCAAAGCGTTTATTTATTTATTCACTTTTTGCTGTAATCACAGTCGGTGAAATCAGCAGTCACATTGCAATCTCCATTTGAAACAATCACTTCACATAGAAGTGCACAGAAAATTCAAAAGATCACTGCTAATTATTCTGATTTATCCACCAATTTGCTGCCGGTTGTAATTGATGTGTTGGGTGGCATGTCTTTTCTGCCTGCGTCCCCCAGAGTGTCTTGCTGGGCCACTGACTACATGCTGCTAAATCCACCGCGGAGATTAAACAGAAGGGCAACCAGGCAACCATGGCAACCATGCTCGTGAGGTCTTCTTCGCTGCTTTTGGTGTATTTTGTGGCAGAAGTACAGCGCCACTTACAAGCCCGGCATATGTACTACAACCTCTCCAGCGGGTCGAGCGGTCTCGTGTGAACGGACACGTTTATTGAGCCGATTGCGTGTGAACGGAATACTTTTTTGATATCGAATGCTGTTCGTTTTCGTTTCCGTTCCCGTGTAAATGGGGCCTCAGTGTTATGGTTTGGGAAAGCCTGACTGCCACAGTAGCTTAAGAGGCTTATTGACTTATAATAGGGGATTCATGTAAATTCAAGCAAAAGCTTCAAGAAACTTGAATCAATTCATTAACTTTTATCTGTTGATCCATCCATTTTAAGTCACTTTTCCTGGTCCAGATCACTTTAATCTAATTAAGTATAATTATAAGAATTATATACTCAAATAAACTGAACAAAATTGATATAATCACAGATAATTGAAGGCTGTACAGTATAGTCGATATAAAACTGGCCGCTTCAACCCAAAGAGCAACTAAAACAAAACACGAGAGTGCACCTTGTTAGCTAATGTTAGCTAGCTGACATTAACGTTACACATTACACTCGTGTTACTCACCGAAAACCTTGTAAAGCCGGTCCCGCATGCTGGCTCTTACGGAACCGACTAACTCCCCTTGTGTGTATGTACAGCTCTCAACATGGCCAGACTTGTAGTGATTTTCACCTCTTTTAATACTTTTCGCCTCATTCTGAAAAGAAAGGTGAAATGTGCTAACGTCACGGCCATCTTGGTGTTGGTGACGTATGCAATACCAGAGTTGTAGTTCATTGAGAGCTTCACACAAAAAAATGTGTTACTTCACAGTTTTACGACACATTTTATTTTTTTTGACTTGCAAAATTATCTTTTAAATTGACAAACATCATATGTGTAATTCGTGGCACAATTCAAACGGGATCGAAAGATAATCTTTCTCTCTCCATTGACTTCAATGCATAACTTTTCCGAAATAAGGTCCCATGGAGGTCCACCGGAAGGGGAGGGACTTCGCCACTCTATTCCATAGAAGCAGTGGGTGTTTCTCAATCGCGAGTACGCTTGCTTGGTAGCACATGTCTGCCGAGCATCTTGCTTCAGAAGCGAGTCAAGAATACTTCCTGGCATTCGGAAAACGAAGTGTGGAACACGCTAGCAAGTGTGCAGGTGTGCGTCATATGAGAGGCCCCGCCTTACATCTTCCGCCACAGATTTGGGGAAATTGGTCCGTGCGCAAAGCATTGTGGGGATTTTAAGACCGCGAAGTCTACTCATGTGCACACTCGATATTTCTCCAAACGGAGTACGCCGGGCTCGGTAGATTTCCAAGTATACTGGAGATTGGAACAGTACTTCGGCGGCACTCGATGACGTAGTATGCTTGAAATAGTGGCTCTGAAGCAGCTTTACTCGCGATTGAGAAACACCCAGTGATTCGAAGCTTGCTTCAAATCACGTGACATATGACGTCCGAACCAGCAACTGCTTCATTTCCTGAATGAATCACTTGACTGGTTCGCGGTCCAATCACGCGATTCAATGCACTGCCTCGTCTCTATTCTGACAGGTGACAGGTTGAAACTGTTTCGAATTTGAGCGCTTCAACACTTATAACCGCTCTAAACAATGCGCAATGTGTGGGTAGTTTGCGTTGTTGCTGTTGAGTTGTTGTTGGTATTGCATTTTAATTGGATCATTATAGAGCAAGCCAGGAAGAAAGATAGGTCGTTCTGGCTCAGGAAACACTTCGAAATGTGGAGAAGTTGTGAACAAAAAGACAATTAAAACGAATATAAAAAACATGTGTATAGCTTAAGGTATAGATAGCCCAGTGGTTAGAGCCGGCAGCCCGAAGTGGCGATGACCTCCGCGCAGCTGGTTCGAAGCCCGGAACGGATGAACGTTTAATCATTCCTTTTCAACTTTAATACTTTATTAACTGATAAAAGGCCCTCTCCGCCCAAAACAAATTCCAGCACTCTCTAGTCTCTTCTCAATAACCCAAAACACACAATTATCAATCTTTAATTGCAAATAGAACATGATATTCAGTCTTAGTGTGTGTGTGCATCGAATATTTTTCAAGGCAAACATACGTTAAACCCACTGCAGCCTTGCACTTCGCCAGGAGAGGTCGCTGTAACTGAAGCTTCGAGAAATGAACCTATTTCCGACACAATTGTCCAAGTGGTTCGATGCTTCATTCAAAGCTTCATTTTGCCATCACTACTCTGAGACAGCAGACTAGCTCAAGTTAACAGCTAGATGCTAAATACACTGGCTTTATAATGGATCGACCCTGAATGAAGTCATGCTACGAGCAAACTTGACAAATAAAAGCGTCTTTCTTTAGAGCCCTCATCTGAAGTCTGCCATCAGGTGTGTAAATACTGAGGGGCTAATTGGGAAATGTGAAACAGGTGGGCAGTGTGGGAGTCATGTGATTTTGAACATACAAGGAAGACTGAGGCCATCTGGTGGATGGAGGAAGAATTGCATGTTGGAGGTGTTAATAAACAGATAATGCATGCAACACTAAAGTAGAAAGTCTCTATGGAATACACAATGTAAAATATAAACACCTTAGAATACACTATAAAAGACCAAACTACTACTACTACAATCAAAACATGAAAATACAAACGTAAGAAAATGTGCAAAGTAGTTGGTTATTGCAATGTGGTAGATGGTGAGTTTAAGATGTGCAGATTGTGCAGGGCTATACAAAAAGTAGACATAGTGGAGAAAAGAAGAATAGCCCTGCAAGCTTCTTTTGATCAAAAGATGAATCGAAGAAAAGAAAAATAACAATTTACATTTTCTTCCTTTGTTATAATTTTAATGAAGACATACTGTAAAAGCTTAAAAAAACATGAAAGTGCAGTGGATATATTGCAAATAAAATGCCAAGCAGTAAATAAGTGCATCAAAAAAAATTATTAAAAGAATCATGAAAAACTTGGCCTAGGTATTTGCTACAATCATAACCTTTTTTGTATTATTTAACCTTTATGTATGTATGAGAAGTCTCATTGAGTTTAAACACTGTGATGGCTAAGATAGGCCATCACAGTGTCAGTTCATGTTGCAGCTGATGGGTTCCCCCTGTTTTACGACAGATAGATCTGCAATAATCTTGAATAGCACCAAGAACAGTCGTATAAATAACGATGTGCCATTAATCCCTGAAGATTTAGAAAATAAATGATCATTTTGGCTTTTTTTTTGTATCCAAAGGGGGAGGGTTGTGTTCTGAAACATATAAATACTATAAGGTTTGACAGCTTGACAGGTTTTTCTTTTTAAATAAAGATTAGCTTTAACAGTGCAAACGATTTTAAACTCTGGCCACTGAGACTCCACCATTCTGATTGGCTGGTAGAAGTGGATTTACTCTCAGTAACAGTACTCAACTTTAAGTAACAGGACAGTGTAACCATAGTGTCCGTTGCAGTTCACAGTACCAAGACATAAATAAGACTGTGTGATTTGTGCATAAGTGAGGCGTTCAGGGAACATACGTAAATTAGTCAACCGCATCATAACCTGGGTTACATCAGCATTTCAGCACTTCTTGTTCAACGGTCTCAAAGTCAAGGGTTTTTTAATACATTTTGTGGTAAAAGCTGAATACAAAATTAACCCAAGCTGAAGAGATTTTAACGTTTGTTCCACAACATGATGCACATCAGTACATTTGATTATTTGGCCAAAAATAAGGCGCCTTGAGCTTAGAAGTGGGAACGTAAAGTCATGTGACCATGATAAAGTTCGTACAGCCTACAAAATCAAATGGAAATTCAACATTTCCACAGTCAGATTGGCTCTTTATCAGTATGATGCTTGCCTCCGATGCTAACACGTCATTGCCGCAGCACTATATTTGCAGTATGGAATTCTAAAGATCCAAAACAATTAACGTTCAGAGTAAGACTCTCCAACGCTGTATCCATTTCTCTTTCCCATACATCCATGGTGCAAACAGGGTCCACCTTTGAGCTCATCTTAAGAAAAGCAACTCAGAGAGACAAAGAGAGCCAGTAAAGCCACTGCTGATATTCCCAGTCCGATGTGCAGCACGATAATTCCCTGGATCTTCTGATGGGGTTTCACAGTTTGTGTCAGAGGTGTGGGCTCAGCAGCAGCTGTGGGAAAGAAAATAAGCACAGAACATTAACAGGGAGAAAACCGTACATTTGTAGAAACATGCATGTTCTCCAGAGGGTGAATCCTGCTGATTTCTTCCGCTAGCGTCTCCAGTAAGGTTTGGGATTTTTAGCTAAATTTCCTCCACAACTACTTGATGGATTGCCATGAGACTCAGGACAAACGTTCAACGTTCAAAGATATTGAAGTGACTGTTGTTATTTTGTATATATTATTTGTTGTGCTTTTATCTTAATGTGTGCATATGTATACATGTGTCTGTTGATTGTGTATCAACAGACACATATACATATAATATATACATATTTTTATGGACATTTCTATATATATTTGTATTTTTGTATTCGGGATTGGGGGAAACGGTATTTAGATCTCTTTATTATTGACAATAAAGTTGACTTTGACTTTGATGTTTCCCTCAGGATATTTTTTGTCTTTGGTAATCCAAAGCGGCACCCTTAGTTAAGTTAAGGGTAATTTACTCACCAGTGACGTTGAGCCAGCATCTCCTAGAGTTCCTCCCCTCAGATTTGACGAGTATGTCACACACATAAAACCCAGAGTCACTGGTCCTGAGTCTGGAGACATGAAGTGTGAGGCGTCCTTCTGGGAGGACGTCTTTGTCCCACTGGACTCGTCCTGCAAACTTTGGATCCTGAGACTCTGGGAATTCATCACCTTCATAGAGATGAAACAGGACTGAAATTCTGCTCTCAGTATACATCTCACAGACGATAGAAATGGAGCTGAGGGAAGTGTCTCTTCTGGAGCTGAAGGTCCACTCCAGGGTGATGTTCTGGTTCTCCTCTGCCTGATAGGAAGCCTGAGTCACATTCACTACAAATGTTCCTGTGGAGGAGACACAGAGGGACTCTTTAAACTGCAGCTATGTTACTGTGGAGGAGACACAGAGGGACTCTTTAAACTAGAGCTATGTTCCTGTGGAGGAGACACAGAGGGACTCTTTAAACTGCAACTATGTTCCTGTGGAGGAGACACAGCGGGACTCTTTAAACTAGAGCTATGTTCCTGTGGAGGAGACACAGCGGGACTCTTTAAACTAGAGCTATGTTCCTGTGGAGGAGACACAGAGGGACTCTTTAAACTAGAGCTATGTTCCTGTGGAGGAGACACAGAGGGACTCTTTAAACTACAGCTATGTTTCTGTGGAGGAGACACAGGGGGACTCTTTAAACTACAGCTATGTTTCTGTGGAGGAGACACAAAGGGACTCTTTAAACTACAGCTATGTTCCTGTGGAGGAGACACAGGGGGACTCTTTAAACTACAGCTATGTTCCTGTGGAGGAGACACAGAGGGACTCTTTAAACTGCAGCTATGTTTCTGTGCTGCTTTACTGAGAACAGTTTTAAAGAGACAAACTAACCAGAGACACAGGAGGTGAGGAAGAGGAGCAGCAGGAGGATGAAGATCATCTTCTCCCTGTGAGAGGACACACACATCAAAGGTCAAAGGTCACACATTAGAAAATAAAAGCCGCTTCTCATTTATCTGACTTTCGCCTCCTCGACTCCTCCGGTAGTGACCCGGAAATCGATGTCAGCGCGCCGTCTTGAAGGACATCTAATTTCTATAAATGCACATCGAGGAGAGAGGAGAGAGGAGAGAGGAGAGAGGAGAGAGGAGAGGATGGAGCATCGAGGAGGCTCTCTGGAGGAGCTATAACCGAGGATACACTGATGTTTCCTCTGGGATGCATTTCAGTCAGCACTGATGTTTAAAAGAGGCGTGAAGCGCGGCTGGACTTATGTCAACGAAGCCCAGCTCTGTAAACTGTTCCTGTTGTGATTATATATATATATATGTGTGTGTGTGTGTGTGTGTGTGTGTGTGTGTGTGTGTGTGTGTGTGTGTGTGTGTGTGTGTGTGTGTGTGTGTGTGTGTGTGTGTGTGTATATGTCGGTATATGTAGCCTGTTATTGTCTCATTATACCGCACTGTGAATGAATTAAAGTAAATATATAAGTCGTCATGAACACATCTGTCCATCAGACAGAGGGCTGCTGTGCCTCCTGTCATCACTAATGGACGTCTCTTTAAAATGACTGCTCAGAGGAGAGGATTTTTTATTTCTCTAACCGCCTGCTGCTTCCCCTCCTCTCTCCTCGGTTCCCCTCCTGTGGGCGGGACTAAGACGCGAGGATAGGAGTCGAGGAAGTGAAAATTAACAGTAATGAACATCTTACACTAGGTGGCGCCAGATATGAGCATTATATTTTCTTTTAACTGAACCAGGAAATACTTTCACTTTTGCAGAAAGTAAACAAAGCATTGAGCGGCTCTTTTCCAATGACCCCCCCACTGGGAATTTAACCCAACAACAAAACGAACCAGCATGCTGAACTCAGCGTTAGTGTAGATAAAATAACACAGCGTTGTTGTCAGTGGCGGCCGGCCCATAGGGGCGCTAGGGGCCCCCCCTCTTTAAAAATAGAGGTGCATCGAAGGTGAAAAGTGGTGCTTTAATGAGCAGCAGAAAACCACATGTTGTCGGGTCGCAGCCCGGGAAGAGGAGAGAAAGGAAGGAGGACACAGTATATACCCCGGAGGTACAGTAAGCATAAGTGTCCGTGCGGAACAATACCCCCAACCTGTAGTTCCATGAGTGAATTATGTATTAATAAGTGATCACTACACAAGCCCCCCCAGAATTCAAACATGGCACTTTCACATCCCCACCGGGGGGCGGGGGGCGGGCCGGAACGGGCCGTCGTCAGGGGGCCGCAGAAAGCAGGGTCGCTGTGTTGCGACGTGGGGACGGGCGTGAATGTCCCGGTGGTCCCCAGCAGGGAGGAGCGCTGCCCGGCCGCAGGCGAAGGCACAGCGGCGGCGGGCACGAAGTCCTCTGGAGGAAGGAACCGTGTCCCTGGGAGGAAGGAGCCGCGGACAGGGGAGAGGCCAGACGGGGCGCCGTCCGAAGCCGCCGTCGAGGCGAACCGTGAGCCGAACCGTGAGCCGCGGTTAGAGGAGAGGCCAGGCAGGGTCCCGAAGCGCGCCACCCACGGGCCGATGAAGGCATGGGCGACATCCAAAACCGCAGAGGCGAGGGAAGAGGCCAGACAGGGTCCCGAAGCGCGCCACCCACGGGCCGATGAAGGCATGGGCGACGTCCGAAACCGCCGAGGCGAGGGAAGAGGCCAGACAGGGTCCCGTAGCGCGCCACCCACAGGCCGATGAAGGCATGGGCGACGTCCGAAACCGTAGAGTCGAGGCGAGACGGGGTCCAGAAGCGCGCCACCCACGGGCCGAAGAAGGCATGGGCGACGGCCAAAGCAGACACGGTCGAACCTCCTCTCAGGCACCAGAAAAAAAACTCAAAAGGGTCGTCCAGTCCACGATCAAAAACAGGTGGGCGAAATTGTGAGAGGATCCACACGAGGCCGACCAGACTTGATCGAACCTCCTCTCCGGCACCACAAAAAAAAAGGGGCTAACAGTCGGATGTCGATAGCCAATGGACGTCGTTAGCCGCTAGCTGCTAGCCGTTAGCCGTCGTGGCTAGCCGTTCTCGATGGCCGTTAGTCGCTGTCGTCGTCGGCCCCGGAGCCTCTGCTAGGCGGCGTGCCCCCACCAGGGAAGGTGCTGCAGCGTGTAGTGGCCAGCACCTCAGGGGTAAATCGCCGGGCGGCCAGGAAGAACCGGCCAGCTTCTTCGGCTAAAGCGCGGGGCTCAACACTAGCTGTGTGAGCTTGCGCAGCCTGGACATGCAGCCGCATGTCCCGAAGAAACAGCTCCATGAGGCAGAAGTCGGGTTCCTCCATACCTAGCAGGTCGTGCATCGTCTCCTTGTAGTCGGAAGGCTTGCTGTCCTCCAGTGCCGAGACGATGCGGGAATGGCGAGCGACGTCCTCAGCCATTCCGTGGGGCGCACCGAGCCTCAGTCCGTGTGCACATGGCAGCCACGGACGTCTCCAAAAATCTCCGGCATTTCGAGAAAAACAGTGTGTTTGTCTCGGATCCTTCGCAAGACTTATGTCGGGGTCACCAATGTAGTGCCGAGAGATAGGAGTCGGAGGCGGTGCATCGAAGGTGAAAAGTGGTGCTTTAATGAGCAGCAGAAAACCACATGTTGTCGGGTCGCAGCCCGGGAAGAAGAGAGAGAAAGGAAGGAGGACACAGTGGGTGTTTCTCAATCGCGAGTACGCTTGCTTGGTAGCTTGGAGCATCTTGCTTCAGAAGCGAGGCAAGAATACTTCCTTGCCATTCGGAAAACAAAGAGTGGAACAGGCTAGCAAGTGTGCAGGTGTGCGTCATATGAGAGGCCCCGCCTTACATCTTCCGCCACAGATTTGGGGAAATTGGTCCGTGCGAAAAGCATTGTGGGGATTTTAAGACCGCGGAGTCTACTCATGTGCAGCCTCGATATTTCTCCAAACGGAGTACGCCGGGCTCTGTAGATTTCCAAGTATGCTGGAGATTGGAACAGTACTTCGGCGGCACTCGATGACGTAGTATGCTTGAAATAGTGGCTCTGAAGCAGCTTTACTCGCGATTGAGAAACACCCAGTATATACCCCGGAGGTACAGTAAGCATAAGTGTCCGTGCTAACCCCCAACCTGTAGTTCCATGAGTGAATTATGTATTAATAAGTGATCACTACAGTGTAAACATTATAAATTGTGCAATTTTAAATAAAAACTTAAATGCAGTGAGTACAAGCCTGAGAAAACATTTTAATAGACTAACGTAATACAAGTAGCTGCAGTTTTAAATAAAAGCCTGAGTATAATATGTACACATTGTTCAGGGTTATAGAAGAGAGAACAACAGAGGGACATCTGGTTACAAAAGAAACTAAGCAACTAGGTGCCAAATATTATAACTTTAAAATATTCATTCATTACCTTATTACCGAGAAGCATCACAGGGAGAGTTTTCCATAGTGGCTTCCCTCAGATGAAGAACGAGTAACTTCTGTTCAGACATGATCCACTATTTATACGCAGTGTAGGCTATAGGAGAAGGGGAGGATCCAAACTACGTCAGTACACAAAGGCATGTCAGGACGACCGTTTCCATAGAGATGGGCAGTACCTCGTTAACACCAGGTACTCTATGTATGAGAGTCATGTGAATTCCTGTCTGTCTAACCACACACACACACACACACACACACACACACACACACACACACACACACACACACACACACACACACACCTAGTTAGTATGATGAGTAATAGCACTATAAAACATCTCTTTTAAGGCCAGTGGGCAGAGAAAGAATATGACCAGACCCTAATGGCTGTTCCAGTGTACATGTAGGCCCCTTTTGAGATAGATTTAAGTATTTTGTGTGGCTCTTAGACCTTAGCTAGCTAGTTTGAGCTATTGAGCTACAAGCTTAAAGTGGGAAATCTGACTAGATGGTGAAAACTCGAGATGCTGGATTGGCATTACAATAAATTGTCCCTTGGTAAAGTCATGTCACTGACAAATAAAACAGTTCAAACATGTACATATATTTTTTAATGTGCCTCGCCTGAAGTCTTTCAACAGGTGTGTAGAGAGGCAGAAATAAGAGAGGGCAATCAGGCAGATTAAATCATTTCACTGATTTATTTATAAAAACAAAGACTTGAAAGCAAAGACATGAAGCTA